ACTCCAGCTTGGACTTCTTGCCGTAGTCAACAGAGAGACGTTCCATCAGCAGGGAGGTGAACCCAGAGCCAGTTCCCCCACCAAAGCTGTGGAAAACCAAGAAGCCCTGTAGACCTGTGCACTGGTCAGCCTGCAAAAGAGGAGTTCATTTTAGTGTTGAGACATCTGGTGAAAGCTGCAACAGACTTCTAATAAATCTATGATTAGACAGATTTAAAAACTTCTAAATAGGGGCCAGGGATTTAGCTCAGTGGTTCCGCTGCCTTCCTCGCAAGCACAAGGACCCATGAGTTCGATTCCTGGTACCAAAAAACAAAACAAAAACAAAAGCAAAAAAACTCAAACTTCCAAATAGTATTTGCTAAGAAAGCAGTTATAAGAGCTTTTGAGTGCTATGTGATTCGAAAAACTTTCCACATTAACTCCTGGAGGAGGGGTGGCTACTAAACAGGCTATTTTTAAAATGAACATTCAGGCCAGGCATTTAGCTCAGTGGACCTGCCGCCTGCCTCGAAAATGCAAGGTCTTGAGTTTGACCTCTGGTATTAAAAAAAAAAAAAAAAAAAGATGCAAGGCCATTCTTTTCAAAACAGGCGAGTTGTGGCTGGACTTAAGTGTGTGATTTTCCTGACCCACTGCTCTGCTCTACCCAGGCCTTCACACTTGATCTTTGATTACTTAGAAGCTGCCCACATGTGTGAGTGAGCAGGTCATCAGATTGACAAGCTCTTAATCAGAGTGATCCAAACACCACTTGTACCAACCATCCTGAGGAGAATGAAGCTGCCTGAGACTGCCAGAGCTGGCTCACTACCCTGGATAAAAGCCCGGGCACTGTTTTGCTGTGACTCTACCTTAAAACTTCAAAGTTTCAATGGCTGCTACTTGCTTGCACCCTAAAGAAGCTCCTGACTCCTTTCCCACTTTTGGCTTTGTCAGGGGTCTGTGCTTTCAGCTGTTGTCTTGGTAGCGGGAATCAAACTCAGGACCTTGTGCTTTCAAGGCAGGGGTGGTGCCACTGAGCTAAATCCCTGGCAAGGGCTCCCCCATCCGCCAAGGGGTTTTATCTGTTGTAGATAGTTACCCTGCCTTCTTGTGGTTTGAACTTTTTGGGGGGGGGGCGTTGTTGAGGACTGAATGTAGGCTAGGCCTTTCGCATGCTGCAAGTGTTCCCACTGGGCTCAGCCCAGCCCTGGGCTTTATTAATGACATTGGTCAATTAGTTACACATAGGAGTAGCTACTCAGTGTAACTAAAATGACCTCCAACGGGGTGGCGTCTCAGCTGGAAGCAAGGAGGCTTACTGGTCTTAAATGTCAGTGAAACTTTGAGACAGGGTCTCACTGTGTGGTTCAGACTGGCCTTGAACTCACTATGTAGCCCAAGCTGGCCTCAAACTTGTGGTGATTCTCCTGCTTCAGCCTCCCAAGTGCTGGGATTAAAAGCATATGCCACCATTCTCAGCTTGTCAGTGAAACTATTAAGGGTTCTTGGTTCCCATCTTGACACCAGGTAAATTGCCCTCACTGAAGGATGAGCACAACTGCCCAAATCTGCTGTGTAAAACACACAGAAATGGCAAGGGTATGTACTTTTTTTTTTTGGTACCGGGGATCGAACTTGGGACCTTGTGCTTGCGTGGCAGGCACCGTGACCACTGAGCTAAATCCCCAGCCCAAGGGTATGTATTCTTGCTGACAGTTGTTCCATAACCCAGGACCATTTGGTTTAGAAGGCCATTTAATGTAGACAGCAGCCCAATTAAAAGGAAGGAATGATTCTCATATTTGGCCAGCCATGGTGGCACACGCCTGTAATCCCAGCACTCAGGAGGCTGAGGCAGGAGGATCACTGTGTAGGCCACACAGTGAGTTTAAGGCCAGTCTCAACTACAGCGAGACCCTGTCTCAAAAAAACAAAAACAAAACAAAACAAAAAACTGCAAGAGAAAACTCTAATCCCACTTTAAAATGTTTAAAGTAGGGCTGGGGATTTAGGTCAGTGGTTCGAAAGCACAAGGTCTGGAGTTCAATCCCCAGTACCAAAAAAAAAGAATTCAGCAGGAATATAATGTTTATAAAGTGCTGTACTTACCAGTTTCCGAATTCGGTCCAAGACGAGGTCAATGATCTCCTTGCCAATGGTGTAGTGTCCACGGGCATAGTTATTGGCAGCATCTTCCTTGCCTGTGATGAGCTGCTCAGGGTGGAAGAGCTGGCGGTAGGTACCAGTGCGCACTTCATCTGGAAGAGGAAAAGAAACCCACTGCCCATTACTACAAACCTGCACTTCAAGCCTGGACCATCAACAGAGCCCTCAAGCCGGACCTCATGTCCCAACACCCCAGGCCCCACATCCCATGGGTGTCCGAGGTCCACTCACCGATGACTGTGGGTTCCAGGTCTACAAACACTGCCCTGGGCACGTGTTTGCCAGCACCAGTCTCGCTGAAGAAGGTGTTGAAGGAGTCATCTCCTCCCCCAATGGTCTTGTCACTTGGCATCTGGCCATCGGGCTGGATGCCATGCTCCAGGCAGTAGAGCTCCCAGCAGGCGTTGCCAATCTGGACACCAGCCTGGCCAACGTGGATGGAGATGCACTCACGCTGTGGGAGGAAGAAAGAAAAATGTCAGAATGACACATCGGATGAGAAAGGTGGAAATGTCACACCTAGATGAGTAATTATCCTTCAAAGACAGATAATCACCTTCCGGAGGCCACTCTTGCCCAGGGACTTTTCATAGGCAAAACTCTTTGTTGGAGCTGGGCACAGTTGGCACATGCCCATAATCCCAGCTACTTTTGAGGCTGAGGCAGGAGGATCACAAGTTCAAAGCCAGCCTAGGAAATTTAGTGAGCCTTTCTCAAAAAATAAAAAGGCTGAGGATGTATTGCGTTGGCAGAGTGCCTCCTGGGTTGGACCCTCAGTAGAGTGTGGAGGGAGATCTTCATTAAAGAACTAATTCACAAAAACGCACTTTCAATAACCAGAAATGCTGATGAACTACCATGCACAGCTGGACCCTTGCTTTGTAGCCCAGATCAAGTTCAGGTTTCTACATTAGAATGGCACAGGTTGTTCTTTTTTTTGGTACCGGGGATCTAACATGGGACCTTGCGCTTTGGTGGGTACCAGAAGCTCTGAGCTAAATCCCTGGCACTCAGGCTGTTCTATTAGCAACACAATTTCCATTCACCCCAGCTCCTGGGAAATGTGCCTGTTGAGATTCCTTAAACTAATATAAAATTGCCCCTTCCAGGGCTGATTCACTCCGTGATTGTGTAATTCCTGAATCCATTTTGGTACCTTGCTTCAGTGCCATTCTTAGCAAGACAAGAGCTTCTTCCTCTCCCCCTGAAAACCAGCTTAAACCAGCAACTCTAGCCATGACTCAAGGGGAAAGTGCTAGATAAGAGCAGTTAGCTGTACTTTAATGTGTGGTCAGAGCAGCCTTTTCACCAGGTGAAAGAATTTTTTTCTTTAAAGAATCTAATTTCTAGGAAGAACATTTTTCCTTCACTTTTTTTGTGGTTAAGTCAGGGTCTTGAACTCGTGGTGCTCCTCCTGCCTCCGCCTGGAATTTACAGGCACGTGGCAGCAAGCCAAGATAGGGTTTTGTGGCACTGCTTGAAGAGTAAGATGACCACAAGTCTAAACCCAGCCTGGACAATATAGCAAGTAGTGAGAGCCCCAACTGAAAGAAAGAAAGAAAGACAATTGAACACCAGCTATTCTTGAATGTCCTAGTTTCATAATCCAAGATAATAAAAACCCCACATTGCTCACCACCTTTGACTTATGATCACCACCTTCCCATATATGCTTCCCATAAAACAATCAAGGTTCCTGACCACATGAGCAAGCTCAGTACTACCTGTGACTCCTCACCCAGTTCAAGGGCTGTGGGAGAACAGAAGCTGTTTGTTCTAGAGAGCACTTTACTCTTTACAGTTGCATCAGGTTTATATGAACTTTGAAAACTATCTACAGCCACAGAAACCAGAAAGAACCATCTATCTGTTCATGATGGGCCCAGGGTAGGCCGAGTAAATACAGTACTATTATCTGAGAAGAGTCACTCATTCTAACCAACCACTTCCTTAATAGAAATCTTAGTGGGCGTGGTGGTGCATGCCAGGAATTCTGAGGCTAGAAGATCACCAGTTTAATACAAGCCTATATATATAGTAAAACCCTGTCTCAAAACACCCCCAAAAGCCAAACCAATCTGTTGTTTCTTTGGTTTTTAGCCTAGCACTCACAGCCTCCTGCCTCAGTGTCCTGAGTGTTGGGATTACAGGCATGCACCATCACACCTGGTTTTAAAGTCTTAACTTTAAAAAAAAATCTTTGTTAGCTAGGCATGGTGGTGCATGTTTGTAATTTCAGCACTCTGGGAGGCTGAGACTGAAGATTACAAGTTCAAGTCCAGCCTGGGCAACAGAGCTTGGAGACCCTGCACCCAGCAGTCTGCTATCTTAAAGCTCACCATACAAAGTCCGTGGCCCTTTGCCCTGCCCTCTCTCTAGGGCCACATGGCACAGGTGAGTCTTAGTCTCATTTTAATTGAATACACAGCCACTGCTTCATTAAGAACCACCCACAGAACTTGTGTTTCTCTGTAAACAGGTGCGCCTCTGCTGTCCTGCTCTTTAAACAGCCCTGCTTCTGAATCTCTTTCACCAGATCTTTTGTGTCCTGCTTGGTGAGTCAAACCAATTTGCTACAGTCACACATGCTTTTGATAACTGTAGTCAGCCTCTAAAAATTGCTCCCTCAGCTGTTCACTGTATTCCTTTAACAAAAAGATACTTTTTTTTTTGGTAGGGGGGATCGAACTTGGGTCCTTGCTCTTGTGCAGGAGGCAGCAAAACCACTGAGCTAAATCTCCGGCCCCAAAAGATACTATTTTGAAACACAATTCACAGGATACTTGTTTAAAATGAGTTCTTTTAGACAGACTTTCTTTTTTGGGGGGGGGGGTACCGGGGATCAAACTTGAGTCCTTGTGCTTGCAGGGCAGGCGGCGAAACCACTGAGCTAAATCCCCGGCCCACAGATAGACTTTCAATAGGTATTGTCTTTGTTCCCAATACCTCTGGGAAGATACAAAATGCTCAAGTCATCCCCCCTCCCCCGCAGTGCTGGGTATCAAATTCAGGGCCTTGTGCATCTTAGGCAAGTGCTCTATCAATGAATTACACACTGGCACCCCTGCCTTCCTCCCCCCCCCCTTTTTGAGGCAGGGTCTCCCTACATAATTAAGCCTGTCTTTGAGCTCATTTATGTAGCCCAGGCTGGCCTCAAACTTGCAGCCATCCTCCTGCCTCAGCTTCTCCAGTGCTGGGATAAGGGCACTGCCATGCCCGGCTCCAATTTTTTGTTTCTTGAAAACTGAACTAAGAACATGTTGTTAGTACTAGTTTTCTCTGATTTTGCAAGAAAATATCCTTTCATGGATTTGATTCTGAAACCTGGTTTAAGTAGAAAGCTTCAAGCTGTAAACATCGCAGTAAATTAACACCAGAAATGCCGGATTAGGCAAAGTGACAAGTTACTTCCTTCTGAAGAGGAGCTCGCCTACTCCTCAGGTGGATTGGTGCAACCCGCTGCGCTTAGAGCTGGCCACAGGTGACTCAGCAGGGAGTCACAGGGCGTGGAGGGCTGCCAGGAAGTGAGCGCACAGTCGCGCCCAGCGCACCCGGTCCTCCAGGGCTGGCGTCTAAGGGAGAGGGAAGGTGAGAGCATTTGGGGAAGTGTGGGGAGACTTCAGTTTCTCTAAGTCTTGTGGGTCAAGGTGAAGGCTCCCCCCCTCTTCCCAGAGCGGAGGCCAGCCTGGGGGTGGGGTCCCCTCTCGGCGAGAGGCTTTTCCCTTCCAAGGACTGGGCCCGGGTGGCGTTTTCGAGCCCCAAGCGAGATGAGTCTGGCGAACTCGCCTTTCCCAGCCTGGCTGCCCTGAGCCAGTAGAACCCAGTAAGGCGGGAGCTGGGGGAACGTCGGGAGCCGTCGCCGGCCCCATGTGCTCCACGGGTCTCGGCGCCCCTGCCAAGGCACTCTCTAACCCGTCCCATGGCCCGGCGACACCCCTCCACTCACCATGATGGGGACTTGTAGGAATCAGCGGCGACGGACAAGGCGAGACAAGGGAGAGGAGGATCTCCCGCTGACAGACTGCCAAGGAGTCCTGGGGGAGAAGCAAAGTGCACTGCCCACCAGCCGGGGCCTATATATACACCCCCGCCCCCCGCCACGTGTTGGGGGGGCGGGCACGCGACCCCGCCCCGGCTAGAGCCCCGCCCACAGAGAAGGCGAGCGGCGGTGATTGGTGGGTTTAAAAGTTCAAACCAAAATCGACGTTGGAGCCTGAGGGTGAAGGGGAGGAGACAGTCCAGGCCGGGGGGGCGGGGCGGGGTGAGAAGGGCCTGGAGGGCTTTGGGAGGGAAGAGAGATCCGGCCGCTGAGCTGTCTAGAGAGGGTGCGGCCGCACCAGGTGGGCAAAGCCCTAGAGAAGTCACGCCAAGTGAAGGGGCCGGGGCTGCGCGGGGAAAGTCGGCCGGCAGCGCGGGTTCCCCGAGCCCGGCCGGAGCTGTAGGAGGCGCCGCGCCCGCGAGGTCGAGTCCGGTCGGCTGCGGACTCGGGGTCTTGAGTGCGTGGCCGCTACGGCGGCGAAGACTGCTTCCCGTTTCAGAGCTCAATGATCACCCAGTAGCTTTCCATCCGCGTGCTCATTTTTCGGTTGTCTTTCTTTTTTTTGGTAGCGGAGATCGAACTCGGGTCTTTGCGCTTGCGCAGCAGGCGGCGAAACCACTGAGCTAAGTCCCCGGGCCTCGGTTATCTTTCTTTACGTGTCTTCCTAGCTCCTCTTTCCTTCAAATAGGTGAAATCGATTTTTCAGTTCACGATAATAGCTGCCATTTTTTTCTTTTAACGTAATCCAAGTAGATATTAATAAAATATTTTAAAAAGGCAACTTTTTTTTAAGAGTAGGAAGTATTTTATGTGGTTTTTTTTTTTCTGTACCAGGGATCAAACCACTGAGCTAAATCCCGGTCCAAGAGTAGAAAGAATTTATTGAGAGAAAGACAGCTTCTAAGAGAGACAGAAGGGGGCCCAGAAAGTGGGTTGCCCCAGCACTCTTACTTTCTTTAAGAAATAAATTTCATAACAAAATAATTAGACAATAACAATACACTGTGTACCATAATCTTAAAAGGATGGCCAAAATGTTAACTGAGAGAACAAGTCAGACAAAAATAAAAAAAAAAAAAGACTCACAAAAAAGAAACAATAGCACAAAAACTTTCTTTTCTGTTTTTTTTGGGGGGGTACTGGGGATTGAACTTGGGACCTTGCGCTTGCGAAGCAGGCAGCAGAACCACGGAGCTAAATCCCCGGCCCTAAAATCTTTCTTTTCAATGATCTACGAGAAACTGGTAGTATAAATGAAACAAAGATCATAGATATCGAAATGTTGAAATATTGTTGAAACAATGGAATAGATAATTTGGAATTATTTGATCTCCCTTCTTCCTATTTCTCTATCTTCTATTTTGATTGTATATATAGTTTCTCATATAAGAGAAACCATGAGCTTTTTTTCTTGA